GGGCCAGTATTAGAGGCAGGCCTCTATTTCTATTTGAGCAAAATGAACTAATGGTTCGCTGGAGTTTTTGACAATTAAAATTGCGCCCACATTTTCAAAGTTAAACACATTTCTTTTAACAACGGTAGTTTCTGCTTCAGCCATCTCCCCCCTCCCCCTGCTTCAGCCCTCTCCCCCCTCCCCCTGCGCAGCGGCCGCAAACTCACTGATGCGCCTGCAGCCTCTCGGAGTTCCTGCTGCTCTAAACATTAAAATAATTATTTCATTTTCTGTTCCTCACTTCTGATTACCTTCAATGGTGTCTGTTTGTTGCAACCACCAGGTACAAAAACTAACTTGTTTTTATTTGACTATTTTTCTGTCCTGTCTGTTTATTATCTTCCTGCATCTCCTCTCAATCCTAAAGAAAAACTGCTACCTGGGTTCATATTCACCTCATGAGTTACCTTTGAACTGCAGTTCTAAAAGATCTACACAAACCGCGGCTATAAACGGAAGTCGCCTTTCCAGCTCACCACTCAGTCATCGTTTCTTCAGATTCATGATCAGAGTTTCCAACCTACCGATCAATCCAACGAACTATCAGCTCATAGTAAGTTATCTTACTTACTTCTGTAAAGCCCGGCATTTCCGTGTCACTTCGTTGACGCTCGAACGCTCGGGGGTTTCCTAGCTCAGCCGGCGTTTCACCGACGCTATCACTTCCGCGTCTGTGAAACCACGCTCCCTATTGAATTATCGTATGATCACATTCTCTTTTTGTGGGTAAAACTCAAGAAAAAAAAATTTATACTTGTTTTTTTTAGTTTTATTACAAAAAGTGCATTTTATGATGAAATTGATGAAGAAAAAAACAATAATTTCTTGATATTTCGCATAGAAAAATACCGCGAATCAGTGAAAAATACCGCAAATCTGCGAATTCCCCCTGAAAAATGCTCCAAAGAAAAAATCCGCGAAGCAGCGAATCCGCGATGAACGAACCGCGAAGTAGCGAGGGATTACTGTATAGTGAAGTTGACTAGTTCATACAACCCCTACTGCTGCTCCCCAGAGTGTTCTGCAGCATAATCAGCACGTTCTCTTTGAACTTGATAGTGTAATGACCTGGCTGGGGTTGTAAGCCAGGTGCATTCTGGGTATTGTGTTATATGTGTTTCCTATCTTTCTGCTAGTTCCTATGTGTTGATTTGCGTGTTGTGTGAGTGTTTTGTAAGCCACAGGGAAGGTGATGTGTTTGTTCTGTGGAGCGGGTTGAATTAGCATGGTTAACTGACACCATATTTCTGTGTGGTAGGAGCGTGTCTGTAGCGTTACAAAGCGTTGAAGAAAAAGCCTAATAAAGGTCTGTGTGAACCTCTATTGCCTCCTGCTGGTTGATTTGGGGACTATAACCCTGCTGCTAAAATGCTCATACTTGCTTGTTACCACATTCCACCCGGCCACAATATGAGACCGGCCATTATTCACCTCCGCTGACTCCGACACCGGCCAAAATTGGAGACCCGGCCTTTAATTGAATACCGGCCTGTATTAGAGGATTTACGGTACTAATTTACATCTGCTCCTGTCTAGTGTGTTCTACGTTTTTGGGTCCTAACCTCCTGCTCAGCGTGACAAATATATGTAATTTATATAAATAAAAGAAAACCTCCCTCTGGGCTGCCACCTTACCGTGGTGGAGGGGTTTTGAGTGTCTCAATGATCCTAGGAGCTAAGTTGTCAGAAGCTTTCTGCCTCTGGTAGGGTCACCCATGGCAAACAGGTCCTAGGTGAGGGATCAGACAAAGAGCAGCTCGAAGACCTCTTATGATGAATTATATAAATTGAAACCGTTTTCCCTTACCCAGACGTGGGTCCCGGGGCCCCCCTCTGGAGCCAGACCTGGAGGTGGGGCACTTTGGCAAGCGCCTGGTGGCCGGGATCTCACCCATGGAGCCTGGCCGGGCACAGCCCGAAGAGGAAACGTGGGTCCCCCTTCCCAAGGGCTCACCACTCGTGGGAGGGGCCAAAGGGGTCGGGTGCAGTGTGTGATGGTGGTAGTCGAGGGCGGGGACCTTGGCGGTCTGATCCTCAGCTACAGAAGCTGGCTTTTGGCACATGGAATGTCACCGCTCTGGTGGGGAATGAGCCTGAGTTAGTGTGGGAGGTTGAGAGGTTCCGACTAGATATAGTCGGACTCACCTCAATGCATGGCTCTGGAACCAGCTTCCTTGAGAGGGGTTGGACTTTCTACCACTCTGGAGTTGCTCCCACTGAGAGGCGCCGAGCAGGTACAGTTCAGACTACCCACCCTTTTTGGAGACCTTGGCGGGGGTGCTGAAAAGCGCTCCTTCCGGTGACTCCCTCGTTCTGCTGGGGGACTTTAACGCTCACGTGGGCAATGGCATTGAGACCTGGAGAGGTGTGGTCGGGAGGAATGGCCCCCCGATCTGGATTCGAGTGGTGTTTTGTTATTGGACATCTGTGCCAGTCATGGATTGCCCATAATGAACACCATGTTCAGACACAAATGTGTCCAAATGTGCTCTTGGCACCAGAATACCTTAGGCCACAGCTCAATGATCAACTTTGTTGTTGTTTCATCTGACCTGCGGCCACATGCCTTGGACACTCGGGTGAAGAGGAGGGCGGAGCTGTCAACTGACCACTACCTGGTGGTAAGTTGGCTCAGATGGTGGGGAGAATGCCGGTCTGACCAGGCTGGCCCAAACATATCGGGAGGGTCTGCTGGGAATGCCTGGCAGAGTCTCCTGTCAGAAGGAGCTTCAATTCCCACCTCCAACAGAACTTCCAAAATGTTCTGGGGGAGGCGGGGTACATTGAGTCTGATTGGACCCTGTTCCGTGCCTCCATTGTTGAGGCAGCCGACCAGAGCTGTGGTCGCAGGATCGTCTGTGCCTGTCGTGGTGGCAACCTCCGAACCCGCTGGTGGACACCGGCGGTTAGGGATGCTGTCAAGCTGAAGAAAGAGTCCTATCAGGTCTTTTTGGCCTGTGGGACTCCAGAGGCAGCTGACAGGTACCGGCAGTCCAAGTGGAACGCGGCTCGGGTGGTCGCCAAGGCAAAAACCCGGGCATGGGAGGAGTTCGGTTAGACCATATAGCAACACTTCCGTACGGCTTTGAGGAGATTCCGGTCCTCCTCAATCCCACTGACACATCTTCCAGTGAGGAAGCAGAGTCTGGGGACTTTGGGCTGGCCTCTCAAATCTCTGGTGCTGAGGTCACTGAGGTGTTTAAAACGCCCCTCTGTGGCAAGGCTCCAGGGGTGGATGAGATCCGCCTGGAGTTCCTTAAGGCTCTGAATGTTGTGGGGCTGTGTTGGCTGAAGCAGCTCTGCAATATCGCGTGGACATCAGGGGCAGTCCCACTAGACTTGCAGACCGGGGTGGTGGTCCCCTTATTTAAAAAGGGAGGCCGCAGGGTGTGTTCCAACTACAGGGGGATCACACTCCTGAGCCTTCATGGTAAGGTCTATTCGGATTGTTGAACCTCAAATTCAGGAGGAGCAATGTGGCTTTCGTCCTGGCCGTGGAACACTGGACCAGCTCTATACCCTTAGGAGTATCCTGGAGGGTGCGTGGGAATTTGTCCAACCAGTCTACACGTGTTTTGTGGATTTGGAGAAGGCGTTTGACCGTGTCCCTCGGGGGGCCTTGTGGGGGTACTCCGGGAGTATGGGGTACCAGGCCCTCTGATACGGGCTGTTAGGTCCCTGTATGACCGGTGTCAGAGCTTGGTCCACATTGCCGGCAGTAAGTCGGGCTCGTTCCCAGTGAGAGTTGGACTCCGCCAAGGCTGCCCATTGTCACTGATTCTGTTCATAACCTTTATGGACAGGATTTCTAGGAACAGCCAAGGTGTGGAGGGCATCCATTTTGGTGGCCTGAGGATCAGGTCTCTGCTTTTTGCAGATGATGTGGTCCTGTTTGCTTCATCAGAACGTCAGCTTTCACTGGAGCGGTTCGCAGCCGAGTGTTAAGCAGCTGGGATGAGAATCAGCTCCTCTAAATCTGAGACCATGGTCTTGATTCGTAAAAGGGTAGAATGCCTTCTCCAGGTCAGGGATGAGGTCCTGCCCCAAGTGGAGGAGTTTAAGTATCTTGGGGTCTTGTTCACGAGTGAGGGAAAACTGGAGCATGAGATCGATAGGCGGATTTGTGCTGCATCTGCACTGATGCGGGCATTGTACTGGTCTGTCGTGGTGAAGAGAGAGCTGAGTCAGAAGGCGAAGCTCTCGATTTACCGGTCGGTCTACGTTCCTACCCTCACTTATGGTCATGAGCTTTGGGTAGTGACCGAAAGAACAAGATCGCGGATACAAGCAGCCAAAATGAGTTTTCTCTGAAGAGTGGCTGGGCTCTCCCTTAGAGATAGGGTGAAATGCTCGGTCATTCAGGAGGGGCTCGGAGTAGACCAGCTGCTCCTCCACATCGAGAGGAGCCAGTTGAGGTGGCTCGGGCATCTGGTCAGGATGCCTCCTGGACGCCTCCCTGGTGAGGTTTTCCGGGCACGTCCAACTGGGAGGAGACCTAAAGGTAGACCCATGACACGGTGGAGGGACTATGTCTCTCACCTGACCAGGGAACACCTTGGGATTCCCCCAGAGGAGCTGGCCCAAGTGGCTGGGGAGAGGGAAGTCTGGGCGTCTCGCCTTAGGCTACTGCCCCCGCAACCCGACTCTGGATAAGCGGATGAAAATGGATGGATGGATGGATGGATGGATGGAAAATCTAGATCAGACATGGACAAATATCTGCAAACTCATGTTTGATTTGAATTGATGACCTTGTATTTAATAAAATTACAACCTTTTTTTTTAGCATTTTCTCAAATAAAATAAACAGTTGGCTTCATCAGCTGAACAAACTTCACTTATAATTTTTACACAGCGATGAAGCATGATTCAAGTCACCTCTAGAGATAGAGATTAAATCATAAATCATCACTTTATTAATTGCACTTTACCCACTGTGTTTGGTTTTGATATGGCTTAATTAATTTTTTCAGATATTACAAGAAAACACATGCGGACAATAAATAAGGAAAAAAAGTAAAATTAAAGAATAAAACACATATTGTAGTAAACTTTTCTAAGACATGTACAATTCTAGACCTCTGGCAGAAGTTGTTAGACATTAGGACGTGCTTTAATTTGATCAGTGGGTGGAGCCAAGATTGATGGTGTCAGAAATACTTTTAAACATTTTCATTTGAAATCCATTATAGAGTTAAGTACTTAAAAAGTTTTTGTTGTCAAATGAATTTTTACTTTTGACCATTTAATTTTCAATATTTCTTTGATGTCTTGAGTTTTGAAACAGTAAATGAGTGGGTTGACAGCAGCAGGTATATGACTGTACAACATTACAATGAAAATGTGAAGTGAAACATTGAACGTGAATCCCACAAAATTTGCCAGGTACACAAAGCATCTTGGAAAATAGTAAAGACCTGTGATGATGAGCTGTGGTGTGCAGGTTGACAGAGTCTTAATGCGACCCGTAGATGAAGACCTTTGTAGAACAACAACAATGATAAAAATATATGATAAAATGATGAACGCAAGAGGGACCAGCAAACAAAACATAGCAAATCCCAATGCTAAAATTGCAGAAAATCGTACATTCTCACATCCCAAACTTATTATTGAATTATGGTCACAATAACACTGAACAATTATGTTTGAATTACAAAAGGGTAGTTTCATGGCATCAACTACTAAGGTGACCATCCATGAAATTGGCATGATCCACGAAATCCCACAAAGCCCATTTACTGTGGTATTTGTGAAAAGTGATGTGTAACGCAGTGGAACACAAATAGCTATAAAACGATCAAGAGCCATCACCATCAGAATGAAAGAGTGTGTTGAAGCTAAATAGTGAACAAAGAACATTTGTGTAAAACAGGCATAGAATGAAATAATGCTGTTGTCAGACCAGTATTTTGATATAACCCTCGGGAGAGTCACTGTGCCAAACATCAAATCAGTTAATGCTAAGTGACAAAAAATGAGATATGTGGGTTTTTGAAGAGACTTTTCATATTTGACAATCACTAGGATGAAAACATTCCCCACAGCTATAGCCAAGAAAAGCAAAAAGAGAAGAGCTGACACAGGCCCATAATACTCTGGCAACAGGCCAGGAAATCCAACAATGAAAAAGTCTTTGATTGTTGTTATGTTAGTGAGCAACATGTCTGAA